TTTCATTCTTGGGTAGTTTTTTTATTACCGATTCAATCTCTTTGCTGGTAATTGGTCTATTTAGGTTTTCTGTTTCTTCCTTGGTCAGTCTTGGAAGGTTGTATTTTTCTAGAAAGTTGTCCATTTCTTCTAGGTTATCCAGCTTGTTAGAATATAGATTTTCATAGTATTCTCTAATAATTCTTTGTATTTCTGTGGTGTCCATAGTGATTTTTCCTTTCCCATTTCTGATTCTGTTTCTGTGTGTAGATTCTCTTTTTCTCTTAAAAAGTCTGGCTAGGGCTCTGCTGCCCCAGCCCAGTGCAGCGGTACATGGAGCTGCCCGCTGGGGCTGGTCCCAGGCGTCACCTGTGCTGCCGGCATACCCTGCCCAAACCGCAGCCTAATGGCCACCTTTGCTTCCTCAAGGAGATAAGCCTCTCTGCTGGGAACCTGCAGCTGGAGTACAAAGCAAGAGATTTCACCTCTTCTGGGAGTAGGAAGCTCTACTTTGACACTCATGCCTTAGTGTGTTTACTCAAAGAAAATGGGTTTACCACTCAACAAGCAGAAATCATTGCATCTGCGTTGGTCAAGACCGTAGAGGCCAACATGGACATCGTATACAAAGACATGGTCACCAAGACACAGCAGGAGATCACTCTTCAGCAAATAATGTCTCAGACTGCTAATGTGAAAAAAGATATGATTATTTTGGAGAAGAGTGAATTTTCAGCCCTTAGAGCAGAAAATAAGAAAATAAAGCTTGAACTACATCAGGTAAAACAACAAGTAATGGATGAAATGATCAAAGTCCGAACTGATACCAAATTAGACTTCAATCTAGAAAAGAGTAGAGTGAAATTGTATTCATTGAATGAAAGGAAGCTGCTGGAAATAAAGACAGAAATGGTGGCATTTCATGCCCGGCAAGATCGTGGTGTCACCCAGACAGACAGGAAAATAGACACGGAGGTCGCTGGCCTTAAAACTATGCTCGAGTCACACAAGCTTGACAATATTAAATATTTAGCAGGGTCTGTGTTTACATGCCTAACAGTAGCTCTGGGATTTTATCGCCTATGGATGTAATAAATTCTCTTTTTAAAGAGCAAAAAAAAAAAGTCTGGCTAGGGGTTATCTATTTTGTTTATTTTCTCAACGAACCAGCTCTTGGTTTCATTGATTTTTTTCTATTGTTTAATTCTTCTCAGTTTTATTTATTTCTTCTCTGATCTTATATTATGTCCCTCTTTCTGCTGAATTTAGGCCTTGTTCTTTTTTCCAGTTTCAATAATTGTGATATTATACTATTGATTTGGGATTGTTCTGTCTTCTCTAAATAGGCGTGGATTGCTATATACTTTCATCTTAGAACTGCCTTCACTGCATCCCACAGAAGTTGGGGCACTGTGCTGTTGTTGTCATTTGTCTCCATATATTGCTTCATCTGTTTT